TCTCCTTTTTCTTTTCCTGCCCTTCTCTATTTGATTTGTTGACTTTGGCATAAGTACCTGCAGCTTTATCATCTCGGCCTCCACCGAAAGAGCAACCAACGATGATGGGCTTCAAGGTTAGCCCCAAATTCACACTGGACCAACCAAACAAGGGCTTCACCTTCTTCTTCTCTTTGATTTACCCATCTCCCTCTCATTACTTCTGGAAACAAACAAGGGAAACGAAGATAATACTTTGCCGACGGCGACTGGAGGCGAACACCGTCGACGATGATAATGACGACGACGAGGGGATACGCCGTTTGACAACGACGACAAAGGCGAGAGGCGATTTTTTATCTTGTGTGTCGATTTATCTGGGGTTTTCATTTGATTCTGCTTTGGGAAGTTGGATCTGAGTTTTTCTTTGATTTTCTGGGTTTAATGGCGGAACTAGGGGATCGAAAATGCAGCCGGAACTGCACCGTCGGGGAGGTATGTGGGTTCCACGATTTGGGTTCTGCGATTGGCTATTTGACAAAGGGGCTCAACTTTTATATCGGAAATCGTCGTCTTCCACCGCTCCATCACCGCCAATCTGGATCCCTCCGTTTCCACCGTAAATACATCATCGCCAGATCCCAAATCCTCAAACCATGTCGTCACCCTCCATCTTCCCCCAGAGAATAGCCAACCAAGGAAGATGAAGCAGTTGTAGATCGGGTGGCCAACGATTCTAGCAGCGGTGGTGGCGGATTTTATTTACTAGAGGTGGGAGTGGGCGGAGGTGGGAGGAAGGGGAAGGGTCGCGGCGGCCGCGAGTTGGAGGAAGGGAAAATTCCTCTTATCTATTTATTTTATTTTATAATTAAATATTTTAAAATAAATATTATATGTAATCTATGTGTCATTTGATGATGATTTGTCGATGATGTGTGTGCTGATTTGGCGTCCTTGTCAGCGTATCGCTAACAGAACTGATGGCGTCTTTAACACCGTTAAAGTTTCTAACGGAAATGGCTAGATTTGTCACACGACCACCCAATTTTTTGGCTATTTAGTGTTTTCCGATAGTTATGGCTATATTTGTCACAAACGTGAAAGTTATGGCTATACAGGTGTATTTTGCCTACATTGTTTGGTTTATGTGATCGTTATTCTAATATTTAAATAAAATAAAATATATTGCTTTCTGTGTGAAATGTCACATTTATCTTTTGTTTTTAATATACAAAGCAAAACACATCAAAAGGTAGAGACATAGTTGGAAGAAGAAAACACTCCAACAATCTCAAACAAACAATCTCACATTTTGAGTGATAGTTTCCATCACATCAAGCAAACAATGCATATATAGTTTGTACAGAAATTCAGAAAAACAATGCATGCATTATCCACAATGCATGCATTGTAACTATCCCAACTAAGGGTGGCTATACGGTCCGGTCCGGTTAAATTGGCTCAAATTGATCCGGTCCAGTCCGTATTTTTGAAAATATAAGGACCAAAGATTGGATGGGATACATTCCAGTCTTGATCCGGTCCGGTCCCAATTCGGTCTTGATTTTATATTGAGCTTGTGGGGATTTGAGTGGCCTAAGGCCTGAAAGGGTGAGGAGTTGGTTAAGTTTTGTACTAAGTGCAAATGTTTGTGACCGTTTATGCTAATTACTCTTAAATTTTGGGTGTTGAACTCTCTTATCCGGTCTTTATCCAGTTTTTGATCCGGTCCCAAACGGTTTTTTACCTCAAATCTAAGTCCAAAAATTGGATTGGATTGTTTACTATCCAGTCCCGGTCCGGTCTCGGTTCGGGTTATATGGTTCAGTCTCGGGTAAAACCAAAAATCCCGGATCAAATAACCAGCCCTAATCCCAACCAAACAATCACCAAAACCAAACCACTACATGAGTCGGCCGACTAATAGGTTGCTGTGTTTTTTATTAAAGTATAATTAAGGTGTATGATCGATCATTGCAAGTTTTAAGGCTTTATAAGTGGATTGTTTGTGAAAGAAAATAATATAATATTACGTATTTGGTTTTATATCGACACTCAAGTTATAAAAAAAGATACAATTATATGTTAAGTCACTTAGTTTCTCAAATTTTTTAATGAAAGCCAAAATATCCCCTTCCTTATTAGTTACTCACTTTAATCATTGTTTCATTGTTAGTTACTTATCGTCCAATTATATTGGATTCGTCTTAAGTATCACTTGTGTGTCAATCTCTAATTCTCTATTTCCACAAGCTTTTCTAGTAATTTTGAAAGGGAATTGTTTAAGCTTGGAAGGTACCAGGCGTATTAGGTTGCCACTTTCGCAAAGATCTTGCCTCCCATCGATGCGTGGAGGTGATGCTAACCCTGCAAACAAAGGTCCGGAGGCGGGGGCCTCGAACACTCTCCGAAGAGCAAGTTAGAACATATTTAGAGAAAGAAAGTAGAGAGAAAGGGTAGTTCCGTTACCAGTAAATGATGTGGTTGAGTGGTATTCATAGGCAATGGTTTTTCGTACGAGCATTTAATGCTCTGCCATGCATGTACTGGAAATTGCTCCCCCGAGGTTATGCTTTCGGTTGCATTTAATGCTATATCAGGGTTGATATGATTAGCATTGTTGCTGTCTTGTCAGGCTTACTTTACCTATATTACGCTTCTGGCGCCAATTAAGGTCTAGTCTATCCATTGTCCCGCCCGTCCTCACTTGTACGCCTTGCGCTTCCGCTTCTGTTACTGGACTTGGTGTGCCTACTGGGCCTAGTTGGCTTTCACGAGCCTATTGGGCCGAACTAGTTGTCGTGGGTCTAGGTTTAGGTAGAAATTCCAATTTAGCCCAACAGTTGCTCCGCATGCGGGAAAAGCCTTGAATTTTGGCGGCTGGTCCTTAGGCTTGGGACGGGTATGCTTCCTAAACCTTGGAACTGACCCAAGGATAGTCCTCTCCCCGCCGTCGAAACCAAGGGTTGTCACGCCTAGCTTTAGGGTTTGTGATACGCGTCTGCGTGCCTCTGACAGTACGTTCTATCCGCTGCTTTAGAAAACTGTGTCCTCTCGGTTTTTTGAATTATTTTCATCATTACTCCCTATATAGCCTCCTCGATTCACCGAGGGTCTTTTCAGCATCCACCTTCTCTTCCTTCTTCTTTAAAATACCGTGAAGACGTCTACAATAGTAAGATTTTTCTAACTTTCTTGTCCCTCCTTCTTTCTCCGCCTTTAATCGCCGCCATTGTCTCAACGATTTATATTTCTTTCCACCATAGCGCGTTGCGGCCAATACGAGTTCCGACATTACCTTACAATGCCCAGCGGAGATTCCAGCGCTCCTCTCCTTCCTCTGATGCCGACCATTCTCTAAAATTAATTCATGGTTTGGTAATGGCAGGCGACACCGTCCTTCGAAATTTCAATTCAAGCCTTGCAAAGAACTTCATATTCAGGCTCCGCCGAATTCGAATGGTGAATCGGTTAAGACATGATCAAGAGTTTGAGAATAAGAGAAGCTTTTTATTCTAAAAAAGAAGATGTTATAAATGTGTTCTACTTATAAGCATTCTTGATTGAAAAAATAGTGATCGGTGCGCTGAAAGAGCCGTTGGGAAATATATTGAAACATCCCACTATTTTGAAACTTGTAAAAGACATTTCTACTTCGGGCCCAAATATCGGGGTGTTTAAATTGAAATTTATTTTTTAGTCACCAACGACTATTATCAAGCGACAACTGCAGGGGCGGGTTTGCACCACATGGCCAGGCGAAGTTGGCTCCGTCCCATACGTGTAATGCAAATCCCCCTGCGACGCATCACCAGTGTTGGTTAAGTAGGGTCCCTCAAGTCTAGCTTTTTTTTTTCTTGTCCTTTTGATGGCTAAATTTGGCCCCACTATTTTACCTTGTTAGCATTTTGGAACTTCTAGCACTCTATTGTGCGGTACTTTTTAGAATTTGTGAAATACTTAGCACTCTATTGGAGATGGTCTAGGCTAAGTAAGACTTGCCCAACCTCCATCATGATCCTTGAGTGTTTAACATAAAAGAAATTCCAGAATGAAGAAATTAATGGGCGGGAAAATATGAATGCAGGAAATCCTACGATGCGCCCTATCCTATTTTTTCAAATCCGTAATATCAAACTTGTCATATTTATATACTAATAGTTAATATGAACATGGTTTCTATCCTCTCGTGTTTTGATCTTCATTACTATCAATATTGACTATATGACTATAGTACAAGACATCATGATCCATGGATATATATAAAAAATTTAAACTGATGAACTAATTTTCATTTTGAGAAAGCATGTGAATAAAATATACAGTTAGGATCTGATTGGGTCTCTCCTAAATGAATCCCTTGGCCATATTGCTTTAATTATTAGCAAGTTGCAATCCTACATGTGACGTATTTATGATCTTAAACCATAAAATTATTATCGGCTTAATTACAAGTTTGGTCATTCGAATTGCTACAAAATTTCATGTTTGCCACTCAAATTAATTTATTCCATTTATAGTCACTTAAATTAGGTTAACAGTCCAAGTTTGGTCACTGGCCGTTAGTCTCCGTTAACTTTTGCTGATGTGGCAGTCAACTCTTATAGTTGACCGTTAAATGCATGACGTGGCAATTAAAAAATTTAAAGATTTTAAAAAAAATTAAAATTTAAAATCCCACCTCAACTATTAAGAAATAATAAAAATAATAATAACCTTTTCTAATCTAACCTTGGCTCGGGTTGCTCCTGGAATCTACCGGGCCAAGACCTGACTCGGGTTGGAGCGGTGACATGAAAACGAAGGAAAACGCGGCAGCAACCGTCTTCAGTTTGTCCCTAGGCGACGAGAACAAGATCATAATCGGAGCTTCGGGGGCGATTCCAGCATTAGTGGAGCTGCTGGAGCAGGGGAGAAGCAGAGGGAAGAAAGATGCGGCGTCGGCATTGTTCAACCTGTGCATCTACCAAGGGAACAAAGGCAGGGCGGTGCAAGCCGGGATCGTACCGGCGTTGCTCCGAATGCTGACCGATTCGAGAGGGGCGGCAATGGTGGACAAGGCATTGTCGATACTGTCGGTGCTATCGAGCAACACTGAAGCGAAAGCGGCGATCGTGAAGGTGAGCACGATCCCGGTGCTGATCGATCTGTTGAGGACCGGGCAGCCGAGGGGGAAGGAGAACGCGGCGGCGATATTGCTGTCGCTGTTTTTGGAGAAGAAGGAAAGGCTGTGAACTTGTAGTGGTCTGGTGTTCCAGTAGATGGAGAACGACCTCAAGTTTTCCTGGAAGCAAGCTCAAATGGCGAAGAACTGAAGATTATGCCATAACAATTTAGTCCAGCATCTCAATGCAAGTAGGGTTCCCAATCCCAACATAGCCAATTCCCTACAAGTCCAACCAAAGATTTCCGTACACAGATTTTGATTGCAAACAGTAGAGAGCCTAATAGACAAGTTTGAACAAGTTTCTTCCTATACGATAACTCTCAGAATCGCTACCGTCTATTTCTGCTCTCTCGCGGCCATTTTTACTTTCTCAGCGTCGCTCTCGTCAAGTTCCCTATTAACCATTCTCCCACGAATCCCCCGCCGCCGTCTTCGCACAGACCTACATCAATATTGTCCGCCGCCGCCATTGCATTTGCAGCAGGAATAATAGCTCCTGACTTTGTTGTTCACTGAGTGTTGCTCTGTTTTTGGAGTCGGCGGTGTTTAAGATACATTTCGTCTCCGGTAGATTCCAGGAGCAACCCGAGTCGAGGTTAGATTAGAAAAGGTTTTTTATTATTTTTATTATTTTTAAATAGTTGAGGTGAAAATTCTAATTTTTAAATTTTTAAATTTTTTAAATTTTTTCATTGCCACATCATGCATTTAACGGTCAACTATAAGAGTTGACCGCCACATCAGCAAAAGTTAACGGAGACTAACGGCCAGTGACCAAACTTGGACTGTTAACCTAATTTAAGTGACTATAAATGGAATAAATTAATTTGAGTGGCAAACGTGAAATTTTGTAGCAATTCGAGTGACCAAACTTGCAATTAAGCCAATTATTATCCCTTTCCAATATTTAAAGCGACGCCATTCTCAAAGCAGCTTGAATAAAAAGTCTAATTTCGTTACATAGTTATTAGTTAGGAAGAAAGCCCAGGTAGAGCATGGGCTTTTCCATTTGTTTGTTTTAAGCTAACTGGCCCAACTACTTTCTTTTGCCTGCAGATCCGGGCTGAATTACACATTTGGTCACTCAAATTATACTAATCTTTTACGTTTGCCACTCGAATCACTTTTCTTTCTTATTCGCCATTAACTTTATGAATCGTTTCACCGTTAGTCACCGACCGTCCAATTCCGTTAAAACATCCTATGTGGCAGTCAACTAAGCCCTTTGACCTTTAGTTTGATGACGTGGCAATTAAAAAATAATAAAATTAAAAAATAATTATTTAAAAATACTTTCTATCTTCCTTCCCCTTCCTTCACGCGTTGGTGGTCGATGAGGAGCAAGGGGTGGAACTGGAAGCTCAGCTTTAGAAGAAATCCATCATTATCTTCATCTTATCCATTCCTGAAACTCATCATGTTCTCCACTCATCATTTCACTACAACTTCCCGATCCCATTGCCATCAATCGTCTATCTTCTCCACCTTCAGTATTTCTTCTCTAACCCGCTTACCTTTCGCCTTTTCCGATCCCGCCGTTTGATTCGACACCGAGCTTCCAGTAATCTGAATGTGATCCGGGAAGGAGAAATTGAGCTTGGTTCGCGCCGAGCCCTATCGTAAGCCCGTGCCTCGTCCTCCGCGTGTTAAATGTCCCCAACCACACCCTTGTAGCTCGTTGCGAATCTCGAACCTCGCGAATCCCCAGCCACATCGTACCCTTGTAGCTCGTCGCGGATCTCGAACCTCGCGGATTGGAATTGCTCCCAAACTGACACCGACACCGCTAGATTGAATGGGAATCGAAGCAATTCGTGAGTTCGAGCTGAATTGGTGGTGCCGGAGACCATGTTCCTAAGTACGGTGACCATGACGGCGAGCTTTTCCTCCTTGGTGAGGCGAGACTGCCGAGGCGACTGTGAGAAGTAGTTCGCCGGCGTCACACCGTTGACTCTCGGCCCAGGAGAACCCATTCATGAAACTGCAAACACTCTGAATCACTGCCCTTAGCACTATCACCGCCATACACACTGCTGCCATCCTCCTCTTTCGCCACGTCGGCAATCCACGTGCGGCAGCTGCTGGCGAGGTGCGCGGAGTTGATATCATCATCTCAGTCAGACCACGTCGCCACATCGCATCGCATCGCCTCGTCGCCACCCCTTGCTCTCCTCGCCGACCACCAACGCGTGATGGAAGGGGAAAGAAGATAGAAAGCATTTTTAATTTGAAAAATTAATATATTTATTTTTTTAATTTTTTCAATTGCCACGTCATCAAACTAACGGTCAAACGGCCTAGTTGACTGCCATGTAGGATGATTTTAACGAAGTTAGATGGCCGGTGACTAACGGTGAAACGATTCATAAAGTTAGTGGCGAATAAGAAAGAAAAGTGATTCGAGTGGCAAAAGTGAAAGATTAGTATAATTTGAGTGATCAAATGTGTAATTCAGCCGCAGATCCGATCTAGCTAGCCGCTGCCCGCTGAGAAAGATCCATGCGAATGACGTCATACATTTCTGTCTATATATCCAAGGAGAGGGGAAACCAAGGAGAAGAAGGAGCGAAAAAAGACAGCGACCGACCAGCTATGGAGAAGATAGAGCACACAACGGTGCCGACCAACGGAATAAACATGCACGTGGCCTCAATCGGCGCCGGCCCACGCGCCATCCTTTTCCTCCACGGCTTCCCGGAGCTGTGGTACTCCTGGCGCCACCAGCTGCTGTCCCTCTCCTCCCTCGGCTACCGCTGCATCGCGCCGGACCTCCGCGGCTACGGCGACACCGACTGCCCTGCTCCGGCGGCCCAGTACAGCTCGCTCCACATCGTGGGAGATCTGGTGGGCCTGCTGGACGCGCTGGAGATCCAACAAGTCTTCTTAGTGGGCCACGACTGGGGGGCCATCATCGCCTGGCACCTGTGCCTGTTCCGGCCCGACCGGGTCAAAGCGCTGGTCAACACCAGCGTCCCGTTCTCGCCTCGCAACCCCAAGGCGTCGCTGCTCGCCGGGCTCCGGGCCGCGTTCGGCGACGACTTCTACATGTGCAGGTTCCAGGTGGGTCATAAATTAATTTGTATTCTTATTAATCTTTTTTTTTTGGTTCTTCACATATTTTTTTTGTTCTCGGAAAACGCCGGAAAGATGAGATTTTCTATGATTTTGGGAATCTCTTTTCGTGACCTTTTTTTTTATCGATACATCGCATTTGGTCCTCCTATCCCTTTCTTGTTCCAAATTCCAATATAATAATTATTGCGTGATGTACGTGCCTAGTTATAATCAACTCGATGAATTATTGGTAGGATAGACTCTTTTTTGATCGGTTTCTTTTGTTTTATCAAAGCTGATTTTGTTTTGGAGGGGGTATTAGCTAGTGGCCGTCCTTTAGATAAAATAGGATGTGTACGGGTATTTCCTTTCATGCATCTTAATTCGAATCATTTCTCGACTTAAATTTATCTAAATTATTTATAATTTTATTCAAATTACTTTAAATTTACTGAAACACGTTATATTTTAACTATATTAAAGTTGTAACTAGGTAAAAATTTTCATTTCTCATTCTTCATTTATCACGTGCTTCTTAATTTTTTAATGAAAAATTAATATATCAAGTGTTTTTTATTTAAAAGCCATACATCTATAGATCGTCCTAATCCCATTCTTAAATATATATATACCCGACGGATTTTTATTAATACCCACAACGCGCTATTTACTTTGTTTATGTTTGTCCCGGTAATTTTTTAGTATTATTTAGGTATGGGAAATATATATACTATAAAGGCAGTTTAAAAAGGATCTGGTGGACGGTACTAGGTAGATATACTAAATGCTCCTAGCTCTAGCTGGTTTTATGACCCCCGTTTTGTATTATTATTATTGTACTTGAGTCATAAATGGTGGATCGTGTTTGTACTGTAATAAATAAATAAATAAATAAATTAATTAATTAATTTGTGAATTGGATCGGATCGTGAACAGGAAGTCGGGGAAACGGAAGCTGACTTCGCCAAGGTGGAAACAGGGAAGCTGCTGGCCAAAATACTGACGTCCAGGAGTCCAAAGCCACCGTGCTTCCCCAAACACGTTGGTTTCAGCGCCATCCCCGACCTTCAATCCCTGCCGCCCTGGCTGACCCAGGAAGACATCGACTACGCCGCCGCCAAATTCGACAAGACCGGCTTCACCGGGGCTTTGAACTACTACCGATCCATTGACCTGTACGTAGTTGAACAAGAAGAAATACGTGTGGATTTTGTCTGTCGATCTGTACGTTACGTTGTCACTCACTTTTAATTTTTTGAGAATCATGTTAATGCAGATCTTGGGAGTTGATGGGGCCGTGGACAGGGGCGAAGGTGAATGTGGCGACCAAGTTCATGGTCGGGGAGCTGGACCTGACGTTGAACTTCCCAAGGATGAAGGACTACCTCCTCAGTGGCGCCATGAAGCAGGACGTTCCTCTCCTGGAAGACGTGGTCGTGCTCAAGGGCGTAGGTCACTTCCTCAACGAGGAGAGCCCCCAGGAGGTCACCGACCACATCCACGACTTCTTCAAGGACAAGTAGAGTAGTGTTATTATTACTTGTCGGTACTATGGAAGTAGTGTTTTGGTCCTGTTTTCCGGCGAGAAAACTTGCGTTGAAATGAATTGAATGCACCTTTGACTTCTTTGGACAACGATCACTAAACACGGTTCACACCTCTTCAAACACAGTTCGAACGAGGGTGTTTGATTGATGGTTTTTGGGAACGAGATCTAAATTAAATTACTTCTACTCCTATGGAGGTTCGGTGAGAGCTCCAAACTACGAACTACATCTATGGCTACATGATAGAGAAAAGGTAAAGGATAAACTTGACATGTGTGTCAGAGTGTTGGTTTTGGAACCTTTGTCTCTGTCGACCCCTCCTCTTATTTATAGCCCCGAGGAGGTAACCGCCATAGAAAACCGCTTTTTGGATAACTGCTACTAAGAACCGCTCCTCCTTCTTCGGTAATAAACCGCCTCTTGGACAACTCCCAAAAAAGAACCGCTACTTGCTTCCTCGGAGTGGTGGTTACTCCTTCAACCGCCTAGGTGCCTCTCTTGGAACTGTCGTGGGTTTTGGAGTGTAGCTTGCCTCGCCTAGTCTTGTTCTGAATCTCGTGCCATGCTAGTCTTTTGACGAGCATGTAGTGTCTCGCAAAGGGGGTCATGGTCTTCTTGTCTCGCGGCCATGGACTTCTTACTCATGTCCATGGCCTTCTTGTCTTACGGCCATGAACTTCTTACTCATGTCCATGGCCTTCTTGTCTCGCGGCCATGGACTTCTTACTCATGTCCATGGCCTTCTCGTCTCGCGGCCATGGACTTCTTACTCATGTCCATGGCCTTCTCATGAGGCGGCATGGCCTTCTCAGACTTAGTTTATTTTTTAGTCATTAGGCCTTGGTCATGGGGCGGCATGGCCTCTTCATGAAGTGACATGTACTTCTTCCAGACTTAGTTAAATTTTCACTCCTTCGGTCTCATTGGTGAGGCGGCATGGCCTCTTCGTTGAGGCGGCATGGCCTCTCTTTAGACTTAGTGGCTTGGGCCTAAAATCAATATCCATAAGGCCCAACTGAAACAACATTAATTGTTCTAACGGGTGTGGCCTTATAAACTCATTAATTATCTTGTAACTCACCAATGTGGTACAAGACAAATTTTATGGTGTAAACAAATGCCCCCCCAACTACTTAGTGCATAAGGCTTATGGACTAAGTAGTTGAACACCACCATGCTAGCGAAAGTAACAAGCTGGCTAGTGTGTACTCAACACACCTAGTTCATCTTTAGCCAAAATTTGGCTTTCACGTCAAGCCAACACGGTAGGATGGTACTCGACGTCAAAACTTGTCTCATGCCTTTTAATGGTCAAGCCGCCTAATGCATTCAACGAGATACCAACTTCACTTTATCACCTACACCCTCATTGACATCTCGTACTTGGCCACATGGTTGAGAGAATAACTTAGAATTTTTCGCACCTATTTTGGCATAGATTGGCTCATCCCACCTCGTCACAAGGCTAGACAGTTCCCTCGCGACAAGTCAAGCCGTCTACTTTTTTGCCTTAGAAAAAATAATGTTCATTTTTTTATGTTGGTAGAGACATTATGGTCACCACTCTTCTACTACCACTTTCAAGCCATCATGCCCCCCAGCCGTGGCTACTCGGGACAAGATAACATGGCATGGCATGACCTGATGTATGGCTCGTCATGTCAAGCCATCACAATAACTTGGTGGCAAGATCTTCATGTCGAAGTCTAACAACTCCGACTCAAGATTTTCACTTTGATATTTTCCTTCTATCTTTTCTTTTAGCCATGGTTGGCTACAATATTTCTTTTATAACTAATATATAATAAGTACATTATATAAATTTATTTATTTTATATGGCAAGAAATGACAAATGTCACTGCTCTCCATAGCCTTTGGCAACAATCAATGTACCAAAGGTGTACACCCATTGCCAAGTCCATGGATTAAAACATGCAAGCCATCCATATACCACATGCTTCTTTTCCTCCATGGAACATGATTCTCCATACATTAATTTTGAATCTTCTAGCTTACCAGTGGGTGGTATATGATCAGCATGTCTAGCCTTGGTGGCCTTGCATGGGGCCTCCTGCTCATATGCTTTAGCCACATCACTTGACATGTTAAGACGACCATGGGTTTTCCTCTGCCTTGGTTTCCTCATGGTTGAGACATGCTTACTCTCCTCATGTTGTTGGAGACGATGTCCAGTCTTGACAAGTTGGCGACCACCCATGTGGCCCACTTGATTTTGTCTTTCAACCTCCAAACCTTGTTGGCTCCTACCCTTAGCACACGACCATCTTTGGTTCTTTGTGAGGCCATGTCTGGTTTGTGTGTATGATACCTTCTTATACATGCCCCTATGTCCATCATTCATGATTGATGGCATGTACTTACTACTCATGGACATGGACTTGCCCCCCTGTCTACACTTAGCCAAACTTGCGTACTTATCACAAGCATGTGTAAGTTGGAATTCTTTTAGATTCTTGGACATGCCCCCTACTCCATTATTCATGGTGGGTGACATGCCTCCTTGCTCATACTTAGCTAAATTTTCAACACTACGAGAACTCTTTTTGGCTTTCCCACGTCTTTTCTTGTTGGACTTGACCCCATGTCCACTATTTGTGATTGGTGGCGTGCCCTCTTGTCCAGACTTAACCATATTTTTACACTTATAAAAGCCATGAGTGGCTTGGAACTGTTGTGTCTTCCAAGACATGCCCCTTACTTCATACTTCATGATGGGTGACATGCCCCCATGTCCAGGTTTAGCCAGACTAGCATGCTTATCATATGCATGTGTGGCTTGGATTTCATATGGCTTCTTGGACATGCATTGTCCATACTTGGCCAAATTTTTAAATCCACAATAACTTTTTATGGGTTTCTCACGTAGTGACTTGTTAGATATGCCCTCGTGTCCACTCGAAGTGGTTGGAGGCATGCCCCCCTTTCCATACTTAGCCAAATTAGTATGCTTAGCACAAGCATGTGTTGCTTGTGATTGGTGTAGCCTCTTAGACACCGCATGCCCCCCAGACGGACATCTCGGGTTCAGCTTGTGGGAAGTTAGACTTTCATGCCCCCCTTGCCGAGCTCTATGCGTTTTGAGTCCATCAGAATCGCCTCCTTGCATACTCCATAGGGGTGGCATTGGGGGCTGGCAAGCAGGTGGTGGTACTTGGTCCACATTGAATGGATCTTCACTATCTCGTCCATTGACAAGTGTCTCATCTGATCTTGCCTCGAGAACAAGAGGTTGAACATCACCTTGTACATGCAAGACCCCATGATTGGTGTTCAAAGTGGAGGTGGACCTCTCACTATAACTATCACATTGATGGAGTGGTTTGCTTGCCACTGGAGGTGACAAGCTCTTCTGCCATAGTTGGCCATTCTGGTCATTATCAGAAGAGTTTGTACCATCTAGTGGCAAATCTCTTGATTTAACCACTTGCTTTATCAAAAGGTGTTTCAAATCATTGAAATCATCATTATTTTTGTTAATCAACTCTATAAGTTGACTTAAACGATTATCTAGATGAGAAGTGAGAGATGCTAGGCGGAGGCTTACTTGTTGGGCACCACGATGAAGGCCGACTAGGCATCCCTCCAAGGGATAACGATGTTCCTCCATGGCACGGACGTTCTCCACCCTCAACATGCGGTTCTCCTCCATGGCTTGACGGTTTTCCGCCATCATCTTGCGGTTCTCCTCCAAGGCTTGACGATTCTCCACCATCATCTTACGGTCTTCCTCCAATATTTTGTGAAGTGACTTGATGTTGGTGGTTATATCAACACTTGGTGCCGCCGGTGATAAAGTCTCCACCACGCCATTGTTTCCGGCAACATCCTTCATCTCTTGACCAAATTCAAACTTAGCCACTTGCTTCATCACAAATCCAGGTGAGAGATCACCTTCTTGTTGCCTCTGTCTTGGAGCCATCAGATCAAACACAAGGTTGTCCCACCGGGTGTGCCAATTTGTTTTCCGGCGAGAAAACTTGCGTTGAAATGAATTGAATGCACCTTTGACTTCTTTGGACAACGATCACTAAACACGGTTCACACCTCTTCAAACACAGTTCGAACGAGGGTGTTTGATTGATGGTTTTTGGGAACGAGATCTAAATTAAATTACTTCTACTCCTATGGAGGTTCGGTGAGAGCTCCAAACTACGAACTACATCTATGGCTACATGATAGAGAAAAGGTAAAGGATAAACTTGACATGTGTGTCAGAGTGTTGGTTTTGGAACCTTTGTCTCTGTCGACCCCTCCTCTTATTTATAGCCCCGAGGAGGTAACCGCCATAGAAAACCGCTTTTTGGATAACTGCTACTAAGAACCGCTCCTTCTTCGGTAATAAACCGCCTCTTGGACAACTCCCAAAAAAGAACCGCTACTTGCTTCCTCGGAGTGGTGGTTACTCCTTCAACCGCCTAGGTGCCTCTCTTGGAACTGTCGTGGGTTTTGGAGTGTAGCTTGCCTCGCCTAGTCTTGTTCTGAATCTCGTGCCATGCTAGTCTTTTGACGAGCATGTAGTGTCTCGCAAAGGGGGTCATGGTCTTCTTGTCTCGCGGCCATGGACTTCTTACTCATGTCCATGGCCTTCTTGTCTTACGGCCATGAACTTCTTACTCATGTCCATGGCCTTCTTGTCTCGCGGCCATGGACTTCTTACTCATGTCCATGGCCTTCTCGTCTCGCGGCCATGGACTTCTTACTCATGTCCATGGCCTTCTCATGAGGCGGCATGGCCTTCTCAGACTTAGTTTATTTTTTAGTCATTAGGCCTTGGTCATGGGGCGGCATGGCCTCTTCATGAAGTGACATGTACTTCTTCCAGACTTAGTTAAATTTTCACTCCTTCGGTCTCATTGGTGAGGCGGCATGGCCTCTTCGTTGAGGCGGCATGGCCTCTCTTTAGACTTAGTGGCTTGGGCCTAAAATCAATATCCATAAGGCCCAACTGAAACAACATTAATTGTTCTAACGGGTGTGGCCTTATAAACTCATTAATTATCTTGTAACTCACCAATGTGGTACAAGACAAATTTTATGGTGTAAACAGGTCCCATCACTTTTATTATTGCATAACGTAAGCAGAGTCCTTTTTTTTTCTCCCCCCACAGTACGTACGCAACTGTTCTTCTGTATCGATCGTTTCGTGCCCAATTAAATGGCGAAGGGAAGGACGACGACCCGCTTGTCGATCCATTGCCAATGTCATAATGTACCTAGCTAGCTCAACTGTTCATCATTCCAGGATGTAGTAGGAGGGAGAAGCTAGTCGGAACAAAGGTCGGGTCTGGAACTATCTACAACTAACGATCGACGAAGAAAGGGGGCGTAGGTTTGGCTGTTATTGAGACTTGCTTGAAAGTAGCATCTACGTCTATAGATAGGTCTCAAAATAGAATCCGACCCGGTTAACTTGTTCGACCAACCCGACTCGCAATTCGATTTGACTAAAAGTTAAAGACCCGTAACTCGATTGATCCACATTTCGATTGACCCAACCCGATTGTCCCGAAATTCGATTGAACATGCAATCCAATTTTGGTGTTTTCAATTATTGGGGAGAAATATAAAAAAGAGAATTATGATACTTTCCATTTTTTGGAAGAGAAAGGAGGAATTTTTTTTGGTGTGTTGGGTTTTTTAGAAGAGGAAATTTAATCGCTTTTAATTTATGAAGAAGAAATAAAGAGGGGAAGGGAGGAGTTTTGGTGTTTTCAACTTATTTGGAAGAAAAAAAAAAGAAATTTTGGTGCTTGCGAATTTTTTGTGTTCTAACATTTTAGTATTTTTAAATATGAAATTGATTTTGACGGGGGAGAATCTTGAACTGTGTTCGAAAGTACCTCTCAATTTTTAGTTTTCCCACCTTCCTTTACTAGCGCAGGACCCGGCCCGTTGGGCGGGTAAACTAAACATAAGCGTATCATTTAAACATAAGCGTATCATTTGACAAACGTTGGAACATGAAGTCAAATGAAAACGAATTCATTTTTGGTCATTTTAAGTTAAAAATTGTTCGGTTAAAGTGTTTATAAGAGCAACTGAAATTTGATGGCACAGCAGGTTGGTGGGTCAAACCATTAGCTAAGTTTCTGGTCATCCCAAACCCCTTCCCCCTGACGGATTACCTCCGAAACAGTCAAGGAGCCCCCCTCTGGTAAGACCCTAGGGTTAAATCGAGGAGGGTCCAATTGAAGAGAAGGAATCCAATTAGAATGGAGGAGGGAAGCAGACCGACCATCACCAATTTGCCACCGCAATCCCTGTTCAAGGAGCTCTCGACCATACAGGATACTTTGCCATCCCCACGAAGGGCGAGACCGAGCCTGAGCTTCAAGAAACGTGCCTGTAGGGAAATATTTGCCTTTGTAAACCTGAGCCAAAAGAGACTGGGGTTCAGTGAGAAGGCGCCACCCAATCCTAGCTAGTAGCGCCTGATTAAATTGCTCAAAGCGGCGAAATCCCAACCCCCCATCATGCTTACTCCGGCACATATTCCTCCAGGACATCCAACGAATACGAAAATGATCCTCGGTAACGCCCCACCAAAAGCGGGCTACATGTTTATCTAATAGGCGACACAAAGAGAGAGGCAGTTTAAAACATGATATCATATGCAGTGGCAGAGCCAAAGCAATGGACTTGATCACATGAAAACCCCTTGTCACAGCATTAATCTTAAAATTTTACACAAATAGATACATTATAGAATGCATTGACGGTTATAAAATCAAGCGTGAGAGCGCCAGTGTAATATCTGTGAGAGAAAGCATATTGTGGTTGCATCATTATTCTTAGCAAATCATCGTACAAACATAATAAAAGACTCAAAACTTATCCCTCAAAATTTGGGGGCCGATTTAACGCATTGCTTCGTTACCTTCTTATAAACAAAATATCAGCTCAACATAAGTAGATGAAGGTGGCATCATAACTAAATATAGAAATCATAATTATCTGATGACCCAAATGGCCAAATCCACTGATGGAGGCCGACCAAATTAAGATTTCCATTAACAGACAGAGACATATTTAAAGACCCTCTGGTCCTCTCACTATGCTCAGTTGACCCTAAACCTAAACCTAAACCTAAACCCAATAGGAAGAGACTGTGCAAGTCTTGTGGTCCTCTCTGTCAACCCAAAGCATACCAGAATGATGAAGTCAACTTGGTAAGGTACACATACCAATCATTTATCTTCTAACTTTGTTTACCATCTACGAAGAAGAATATGTTCTGCCTTCTTTGATAATTCTTCTGCACACTACCGTGGTTGCTAGAGTTGGATTAAATTTATTTTATTCAGCTTCTTCTAACTATAGATATAATACTAAACTCAGGCTGTGGAAAGCTTATGCGCTCAGATAGCTGGGGAATTTCTCAGCAGAGTTATATAATCATTTCTTGCGATTCACTCGGTCAGACTTAGCATCTTCACTTTGAGTGACCTGGTCATATGAGTTAAACACGCAGATAACGGGAATCACTGGGACCCAAGACAGATCTTGCAAATCACAAAGCACCATAACACGCCTCAAACTTGCTGCAATCCTATCCAATGAAGGACCTAAATTGGCAGTCCCAAATCCTAGAATAATGGACTGCTAACCCTGAAATTGGCAATCCAAAAGCATGCAAAAATCCAATCACATCATAAGCAACATCAACTGTAAATTACAGCTTAGAAGCAAGAAACATTAGTCACAATCATCTTCCAAACTTGTCAAGATTAAAGCTGAGATTTTCTCTAAATACTATCAATCTTCCGGTCCATATGTCAATTAGCGTAGAAATTGCCTGTCATTCTACTTCCAAACGTGTCTACCACATTCCACTTCTCGTGTTAAGTTTTTTTCCTGCTGTTAATTTGATGCTAATGTGCAAGTTAACCCCGATGTTAATGCTAGATCATGACAGATAGTTATTTCATCTGATTTATGACGAATGTCGAGATATCATGATGACAAAGAAAGTTATGTTGAAACCAAGGGATTGTATATTTTGACTAATACTAATAACTATGGCTAACCAATAGAAACCTTGACAACGGGATCAAGGAAAACGTGAGATGATATATCAGCTAGTTGTCGTGCATTATATGCCGCATATGATCCATGATATGCATAATTCAAAAATAAAAATAGGCATTCTAAAACTTTTAACCAACATATACGGCATATGTGAAGAACACAATCAACCAAATTTTATGTCGGGTAGTAATCAAACTGTTACACAACGCAGCCTTAAAACAGAAGCAAATAGTACCTGTAGCGGCATGGACTGAAGATATCGGTGTGGGCCAGTGCTTTAAAACAAACACCTCTTTAACGAAAACTAAATTGGCCACCCACTTTGTCAATATCTTGAAGTTGCAGGTACCTTAACTCAATCCCTGCGTAGTAGTAACAAAGTACGGTAGGGAGAACATAAAGTATTTACAGCCACAATTGAAGGAATTAAAAGGGAGGAATCAATGTAAGAACAAAAAAATACTATGATTCAATCATTCTCTTTCAGCGGGCAGTTTGTTGTTGCTTAGCACCAGTAGGCTGCATAAAAATGGCTTGCCCCACCATCCCTTGAGAGAGTAAACAAAAATCAACGATTTTGGCACTGTAGTAATAAACAAAATATATGGAACAGAGAAATCATTTTGAAAGAGAAGCAGATGCAAAGTGTATGCAACCAACCTGCTTGCAAACATCATCATACTCCAGGTTCTCACAATTTTGCATTGTTGTCGTTGTCGTTGCCGGATCACCTCTCAGTGTGCGTCACAACAATATGAGCTCTCCCTTACTACTGATCGCTTCCGAAGCCACATCTGAGTAGAAAGTATCTACCGACTACCGATATGAGCTTCCCAGTCATCTCAGACATCTTGATAGCTAATTCCAGGACTCCTGAGTAGAGATCCTATCCGGCATCGGCTTATTCAATTGTGGAACGAAATCCACAATTTATGTCCCTTCAAATATCAATTGTGGACCAAAACTTCCCTCCATTACTAAAACTCTAACACTTATATCTTTTAAGTTGGAGAGTAAACAATTAGATTAAAATGGTAACTTCACCAGGAGTGAAGGGGCTGAAAAGTGAAAACCCAAATGGACCTTAATTACCCCCAAAAGACACATCCGCATTGTTCGCATAGAACATCAGAGGAAATTACAGAAACTAAATGAACCTATATGGGTAGGACTTAGGAGGAGGATGATTCCGATCTTCTTTAGCACAATCATGCTTCTTCCTCAACACTGCAGTGCTGGAGGGGAAGGCGATACGACTGGTTGGGGTAGGGGAGGGTGAAGAAAGGTCACACCTGGGGAATCGAGAGAATTCTAAGAAGGGGAATAAGGGGTTTGTGGAGGGGAACAATGATTAAAGGGTCGATAGGCAGAGAATGATTCTGAACAGCTTTTGCAGAACTGTGATTCTTCTTGAACAACCGCGGGTAGGTGGATGGGGGGAGGCGAAGCTGGATCTGGATGGGAGCCGAGGAAGCTGTAAAAGGCGAAGGTGGAGGGAAAGAGGTTGGATTTTTCTGTAACGAAACGTTGTCGTTGTAAAGTTAAGCAATGTTGGACATGGAAAACGCAAAGCATCATTTAAAAATGAGGAAATGTCAAGAATGCCCACCCGTAAATTACTCACCAGCAGGTCTTTGGGCCGGCTACTTCGGGGGCAAGAGTCCGGTCCGACTATATAATAAACTGGCCCGGTCCACCAGCAGAAGGTGTAGGAGGTGAAACGCACAGCTTTATTTAATTGTGAATTGCCTATATTGCCCTTCCGACAAACCCTCTGGGGGCTGGAATTTTGAATCCGTGCAAACTCAACCCTTGTTTTGGCTTCATATATCTTATAGATCATCAATTTTTTCATTCATTAGTTATCAAAAGATTTTTTTCTTAGTTCAATATCTTCTACAAATAACAAAAAACTCAAAATATGATTGATTTGTAACTTATCAACCCGCTACTCAATTACCATAACCTGGCTACCTGCAACCCGATTAACCCATAAACAACTTGACTCGCAACCCGATGAACCTAAATCCCACTTGTTTGTAACCTGATTGAACCCGAGCTCGAATGTACCTGTAACCTGAATGAACCCGAATACGAATGACCCATAATCTGATTGAGCTTGTAACCCGGTAAAATTTGAACTCGAATGACCCATATTCTAATCGAACTCGTAGCAAGACTAGCACGTAACTCAATAAACCCAAACCAAATGACATGTAACCCAACTAATCCGTAATTCGATGAACCCAAGCCGAACTCACTTGACACCCTATAAGCACAAAGGGTTGATAAATTTGCTCCAAACTTTGGTAAAGATGAAAAATATCTTTA